AAGAACAACAGTGAACCATGGTCAGATAAGATGTTGTCAGGCCGTATGTCAGTAAAAATTATTTTTCTTTCCCTGTCAGCTGTTATACTGTGCTAGTAGTGCGTGCTTGTTCAATTGCACGTACAAATGTGGCAGCGCGAGCTGTAGCCTGTATCATTTCATATCAAAGCGCGAAAGAAACTACGAGCATGCAATTTCGTAGTCATGTCATCAGTTAAGTCATTAAGTTACCAAAGTCATTAAGTTACCAAAAAGTCAATTAAAGCTGCCTTAAATTTATGCATGCATGTAAGCATTTGTTATATGCGTTACATCTAAGAACATGTCTCTGAAATGGTTTTCAAAACTGTCCTGGAGCAGCCCAGCACTGTCTCCCTCATCTAACACATCCGATCAGCAGAGACTTTAAGACCTGAAGTGAAAGACCTGAAGAAAATACGATGCGTGTCAGATCTGCATCATCAGCAGTGGCAGCTCTTAAAGCAGCAAAAATAACCTAATAACCAGCTGCTGTGACGTCTGTTAATCAAAGAACAAAAAACAAAAAAAAGAGGAAATCAATAACTCTTGTAGCTTTAAGGATTCATGTTTATTTAAATTAGAATTTAGTGTTTGGTAACTTTATTCAATTTCTGTATATTTCCTACTTGCTGAAGGGCACTGGTAGCTAAATATGACATTTATTATAATGGGTTTATGTGAAAATTGTTTTAAGTTCACTTAAATTAGAAGTTGTTATTTTTTAAAGTCTAATAAATGTTAAAATTGATAGCTCTCAATTATACTGTTGAATGGCTAGTCAATAGTTAAATATTAGGAAAAAACAATTTCATAGACATCAGTAGTATTGGTATCAGTGATACTGGCCTTCAGTCATAACAAAAGATGCCAAAACAAATATTAAAAATATATGTCTTTATGTTTTTTTCTACATTAATTTGAAGATTGAATGTGAACTTATTGCAAAAGTATATTTAAAAGCTTTAATGTTAGGTGTGATTAATCAAGATTAATCGCGATTTTTTTCAGATGTGCGATTAGTTATTTTTAATCGATTGACAGCAATAATCGAATTTGAAACACTGTTCGACGTGAAAGATTTGAGAACTGTTGTATGAATTCAGTCAAAACAGTGACATTTATATGGCACAAAATCAATCACTACAGCGACAGCAAATCCATTAGAACAACAGTAATATAACTTCAATCATTAGTCTATATACTAAAACTTGAATCTGACCAGTACATTTCGCCTCCTGTTTATTCTTTACTTTGAATTCGGACATATTCTTTTCACATACTGTTTTTCGCCTATTAGTAAGGAAGTATGAGATGTCATTTGGCTGCTGAATGATACTTTTTCTTTTATGGATCACTGCAATATATTCAAGTTTGAAATATATCAGATTAGGTTGTAAATGCAATTGATTAATTCATCGCAAAAATAGCTTTAAAGCATACTGTCATAAAGCAGAGAATCTAAGCAAGGATTTAACCATTCATTTAAACAGAACAGCTGTAGAATGTTGGACATGGACCACTTGCACCAGCACAAACAGCTCCATTGTTAGTATATATGCACATACAGTCCTAAAGGTTACTTTGACTCCACCTATCTCTTTATGTCTATTTTATTAGACCATCTCTGCCAGTCAATGTTATTGTAAGAACAGTTGTGTCCGCAATGGATTCCATGCCCAGTGCCAGCAGTCCATTATCACCATTAGACAAGGGCCTTGGTGTACTGGTTTGTAGTTTAGTGAGCTGGCTCGACTCCACGTAGAGGAAGATTCATTATGGATGGTCCCAGGGTGCTGAATGCAAGCCTGACCCCACTACCACCCCCACAGGAGTTTGTGCCCAAAGGACCATTATGATGTCCTTGGAGGCACCGGACCATGAATTTATGGGCTGTGTTCCTTACTCTCTGTTTCCCAGTGTTCCATGATGCTATTCTGTGCTGTTTAGATGAAGCAAAAAAGTATCTGTTCCAAAAACTTCAAATAGCAACACTGAACTCATTAGCTGTGTGAAGCTGTGTGACAATATGCCAGAGACAGGAATACTGTGTCCTAAATATTTTAAATGGCTTCCTTTCCCACATCTACAGTGGTATGAAAGTGGTTTTGTCTTAAACCACTGAAAATAGCCGATGACGCCTGATGTCATAATAGTTTAAGTCTGTAACGTTATACACCAAAAGCGTTGAATTATCATTCACATTCTACAAGTGTATAAAGTTAGACATAAACAATTACTTAAATTAGCAGACTAAAGGTCAACATCACGCAGTGGCAATATATACAACAATTAAATGGCAAATAAAACGAACAGGGGAAAAAATCACACACGGCGCGCCGCAATGGACGTTTCCTGAATAGCGATTTAGTTTCAAAGGATAGTTCACCCAAAAATGAAAATTTGATGTTTGTCTGCTTACCCCCAGGGCATCCAAGATGTAGGTGACTTTGTTTCTTCAGTAGAACACAAACGGAGATTTTGAACTCCAGCCGTTGCAGTCTATCAGTCGTATAATGCATGGCAATGGTAACAAAATCTATGAGAGTAAAAAAAACATGCACAGACAAATACAAATTAAACCCTGCGGCTCGTGACGATACACTGATGTGTAAAGACATGAAACGATGCGCTCAAAGCAGTTGGACGTAGTGGTGTATTAGAGGTAAAATATTATATGAATACTGTTCGGTTTCTCACACAAACCGATCGTTTCGTGTCTTAGGACATCAATGTGTCGTCACGAGCCGCAGGGTTTAATTTGGATTTGTCTGTGCATGTTTTTTTTACTCTCATAGATTTTGTTACCATTGCCATGCATTATACGACTGATAGACTGCAACGGCTGGAGTTCAAAATCTCCGTTTGTGTTCTACTGAAGAAACAAAGTCACCTACATCTTGGATGCCCTGGGGGTAAGCAGACAAACATCAAATTTTTCATTTTTTGGTGAACTATCCCTTTAACTGGTTGCGATGCGTCACTCGCGTCTGGTGTAAATGTGCTAAAACTTAACTTACTTGTCTATAATGATGGCCATGTTCGAAACACTGCTTACGTCACGATTCACTTAATGAATCTTTTGTTTTAAATCAATGCTTTGGAGCGTGTCAAACGTCACGTCAACCACGCTTCGTTGCGTCATACGTTTCGAAACATCAGTGATTTGACGCTATGGGGCGGTTTATCTCAAATTAATCCAGGAACCAGTATTACATACGACTGTAACCGATTTAAGTTTATTGAATTCTAGTAGAGTTTTGTGGTTTTGTTTGTCAGTGAACCAACACACTTGCATTTACACTGCTTTAAACAGTAGATGTCCTCAGCGTGCAGGGTTTCGAGCGCTTCGCAACGTTTTTTTATTCGAATTTGGACTCGGAAAGACGCGCATCTCTCATCCATACACAAATACATTCCATTGGTCACAAAACATCCTTCATAAATAACAAGAAAATGTGTTAATGTCTTTTAAAAATCACTCATGGAATAGCAAAGTGTTCTCTCTATACTCAGACAGTATGCGATTTCGGAAATCGGAAATACTGTTTTTTCAATACTACATAGTAGTGAAGTAAGCATATCCTGAGATGCGAATGGTTGTTATACTCTCTGCATCGGGATTTATGGGTTCAAACACCAACAGATGGTATGAGTCCGTGGTAATAAAACTGACCAGTCCAAAAGGTTAGAGGACAGGGCTGGTGGTTATTGACCCCAACCAAAAAGGTCATGCGGTCACTGGCAGCTAAGTGGAAGTAGCTAAACATACAACAACTCAGCAAATGCTTTTGTCTCCATTTCTTTTTTCAGTGCTTTATCCCTTTATCCCAAACACGTTTCGGAGGCAAAGCGCAACCAGTTGAACATTCTGTCAGGGAGGTACAGAAAAGTTAGCGGTGGTCTGTATGGAAAGTATCAAAGGGGAATGCTTCACTCCCATCTGAAGACTCGCAGACAGCAGGTGGAGTCTGGAGGCAGCGATGAGGTCATTGAGGCCAAAAATTTTCACATTGGTTTGTTTTACAGTGTTTACCAGATTTAAAAACTCCCTAGCGCTAGCACCCACATGCCACGCACTTTTAAAAATAAAGCGTCTTTATTGTACAATGAAGAACCTTTAACGTCCATGGAACATTAGGTTATTTATAGTGGAAAAAAGGTTTTGCATTATTAAAATGTTCTTCACACATTGAGTTTAAGAACTGTTCATTTGGTTCTTTGAGGAGCCAAAAAGGGTTCTTCAGTGGCATCACTGCGAAACCCCCTTTCAGACCCTTTATTTTTTAAGAGTAAACCCTGTGAACTCTCGGTATAATAAAAAAAAATACCCAGTTTATACTCCTAAACAAACAATAGAATCACAGACTAAGATGGACAATGGTGGCATCTCCCCAAAACTGTATTTGTACTATATCTATGATTGAGCTCTATTGTTTGGGCTTTACTCTATACTTCAGAAATGTTTTCATCAGCAAACCCTAGAGCCGATTCCGCCCGGCCCCTCCCATCGGCACAGAGCCGCACCGTACAGGAATGTCATACCGTATCTCTGCATCCTCAGAATCAGAAAAAAAGCGTGTCATCGAATATCATGACGACAGGCACAGGCGACACAGGAACATGTGCAGCCGCAAAAGTTTCCACGGCAGTGAACCAACACACTGGGGTTACACAAGTGTCTGTAAGCTGACCACCCATTTGTGACCTAGTTTCAAGCCTTACGTGAGAGAAATATCAACATGAGAAGCAAAAACTCATTCACACTGCTGACACAGACATTCATTTGTTAGCGACACTGCCCTCTGGTGTACAAAAGCAGTAGCTCATAGGTGACAAAAACAAATTGGATTATGCAAAGAAGGAAACAAATATAATGTGTCACATAAGTTCAGTCTTATATTGACTTACATACAAAATTACCAACGTTTTGTATACAAATGCTTCAAATTTTGCGTGCGCAATTTTTTTGTTAATGTTAATACATTGCGTGTTATAAACTCTTAAAGCAGTTGTTGCATTATTTTAAAATAAGCTTGCATTAGATGTATTTAAATACATTACTCAGATGTTACAACTTTCATGTGTGCATCAGACAAGACAAAAAATTATGCAAACGCTTCAGTCCTTACAGTAAAAAAAAAGAAATTAAAAAAAAGACATACATGCTTTATTGAGAACTATCCTACAATCTATCCTCTTGCTGTGAAGGCAGGTGTCACTGGTTCTGTTAAAAGGAACATATGATATCATTTAGTTGTTAAAATAACCCCAGAAACTCATTCATATCTAGACATGTTATATCTATAACTAGATCTATTATATTTTTTTAATGAAAGTGTGTCATGTTTGCCAGTTCAAAACTCATTGATTTGATGCTGGATGTTTTGGGTGGTTGCCAGGTCATTGTAATAGGTTGCTAAGGTGTTCTAAATTGTTTTTAGCATGTTGCTATGCCGTTGCAAATGTAAAAATGCAAAAAGATGAAAAAATGTAAACTAAAGGAAATCACAAAATAAAATACCTGACACTTGATATATACCTACTGATATACATTTGCAATTTTACTTTGAAATTGTAAGTGTATTCATTTGTAACTGAAATTGAGACATTTGTTAGCTATAAATGTAATCAAACTAGTTTTACATGTATCTAAAGTCAAATGAATTCATATATATATATATATATATTAAAAAATGTAAACTAAAAAAGTAAAAAAAATAAAAAAAAAGACAACTAAAAAACATTTAAAAGTGAAAATATAAAAATAAAAGATAATTCAAAATATTAATATAATAGGTTATACTAAAACAACCCTCTTCTGAGTTAGTTTTAGCAGGTTGTTATGGTGTTCTTTGTGGTTGCTTGGGTGTTGCTAGGGTGTTCAGGATGGTTGCTAGGTGGTTACATACTAGCCCAAGTCTCTCATACAATAACTATGGGGTTTTTATGCTCAAGGTCAAAAGTAAATCTGATTGTTTAGAAAGGTAATAGCACACTTCTACTCAACAAGCCTCAACATTTTAGGCATGAGCAGCATATTTTAAAAGCACCACTAATAATAGTTAAAATGTGGATTATAATAGCACTCTGCAGTATAGGTCAAGTTAAACAAAATCACAAAATAAAATACCTGACTTTTAATATTCATATACTAATATGCATTTTGCAATTTTACTTTGAAATTGTAAGTATATTCATTTGTAAATTGAACTTGAGACCTTTGATAGCTATAAAAGTAATCAAACTGTATCTAAAGTAAAAGGAATTCATACTGCATGTACAGTAAATATTGCGCATGTGTGTGTTGGGGGCTCATGTCTGATCACGTCAGAAACACCAAGAATCATGTGCACCAATGATTGTAATCATAAATAGTAAACTAGAATGCTGAGGACTCCATTATATGTCTATTATATCTTCTTGGTTAACATACCATCCTCAGACATCTGAGTTTCGTCCATGGTGTTCTCTTCTTATCTATGAAACAAGAAACAAATAAAAATCAAAACAAACCACCAGATCTTTCCAGGAAAAACTGACAGTAGCCTAGATTTTTTAGCCTAGACAGTAGTAGGTTTTCATCTTTTTTCACAACACATCCACACCCCATTCATTTCTAAAGCTTAGATGCAGGTTTGGAACTGGTATGTCTACTATTTGACTTGTGTTGAAGCCTACTGTTCATAAGACTTCCATCTATAATTTGCTTTTAATTATTACTTTTATTTTCAGTGGAAAGGTGTTATTAAATCAGGGATTACTGTTTTGAAAATTATATAAACATTTTTGTCATAGACTCTTTAATCTCATACACAATGTGTACTATTACCAATAACAATCTTCCCGTTCCCTTCTAGCCAGCGGCAACAGGTGTGTCAAACCACTGTTTACCTTTTATTGTCATTCTACCAAACGAGACAGCCGCCAGGATCACTGTCAGAATAATGAGAGCAGGCAATAAAATCTTCTCAATGTCCTGACTTCTCTCCGGGACACGACACGAACTTGCTGTGTGATTAAATAACAGAATTCATATGCTTAATATTGTATTGTGTAAACTGGTAATACAGTATAACTGAAAGTGAAACCTATCACAAGTGGCATTACCAACTACATTTTTATTAGCTTGAAATTACTTTAGATGTTTTCAAAATAGTATAGCTTTTCCAGTACAAAACACTACACTGCAAGTATTTATCCCACCTTAATGTGTTTACAATGGTGTTAGCTAAGTATAAAGTATTTAGCAAAGTATTTAAAAAAACATTAGCTTAAATGTAATTGAACTGCATGAAAGTATGCATAGCTGTATAACCGGTAAAGCCGCTAACTTTTCATTAGCGTGACACTAGCGCTGTTTTCAAAAAAGTGTAGCTTTTACAAGCTAAACTACAAAACGCTACATTGCTATTTTTCATTGCATTATTTTGTGCCCAGATTGTAGTCAGCTAGTTTTTTAGTAGCTTGTATTATAGCTACATGCAAGTATTTTTAAAAGATTTGCTTAGTTGAAATAATGAAAAAAAATACGTAGCTGTATCACAGCTTACTTAACTGATTTTCAATAGTGAGACACTAGCTTCTTTCAAAATAGTATAGCTTTTCTAATAAAAAGCTACAAAATCCTACATTGCTATTTTGTAATCACACAATATTGTGGCCATAATGAAAGTGTGAGTAGCTGAAGACGATATGCTATTAACTCTTTTCAAAGTATAGATTTTCCAGTAATAGCTGTATGGGGATGCTACTAACTCTAAAGCTACATGTATATTAACATGATGCTTGTTTAGCTGTTTTCAAAATGGTGTTGCTTTTACAGTAAGAATCTACATTACAAAATGCATTATCACATTGTATTGTTGCCACAACTTTAACTACTTTTTAGTAGCTTTACCCTTTACCTAACTTTACCCTTATGAAAATTAACCATGGTTTTGTTATAGTAAAAGTGTAGTAACCGTGTTTTTTTGCCATATTAATTACCATTTATGTAACCACAGTTTTACTACAAATACCATGGTTAAACTATGGCTAGTATAAACCATGGCTAATTTGTGGTTTAACTATAGTAACCATGTTTTTTTGGTTTTATTTGTAGTAAAACCATGGTTAATTTTCGTAAGGGTAACGTAGCTTGACTGTAGTTGAACTACAAGTCTCTCATCTATTGACATCCATTCAAACAAAACGGCCTCTGGTCTCCTTCCCTGTGTACTGTCAAAGCGGCAGCGTTAGCATTAGCCATTACACTTTTTTGGCTAAAGGTTGCAGGCTTGCCTTCCAGTGATTTTGGTGCTACTAACTACATTTCCATTAGCATGATGCTAGTTTAGCTGTTTTCAAAATAGTGTAGCCTTTACAGTAAAAACGTATATAATAAGTCATTATATACACTATAAACACTTTAAAGGAGACAGACATGTAGATGTTTGCGAAAGATGTTTTTTCTGTTTTGGAGGGATGATTATTTTTAAATCATACCCCATTTATTGCATCAAAATTTGTTAATACTTTACAATATTTAAGGGTGGATAATTTTATCAGTTTATTGCAACAGTACATAACTACAATAACTTTGTCTAGTGCTCTTATGAAAGTTTATTGCATTATTTGTGAAAATTTTACTATACTGAATGACATAGCAAAGACTTCTTCGTGGCTAATTTTTTTACGTATTTCATTTCATTCTGTAACCTACTTGTTCTACAGATCTGTGTGTACTGGTGTTAAATGCTACTGTTTTTGACAGCGTTGATAACATTTATGACAGATAATATCATGATAATTTTTGCGTTTCCCTTACCGAATATCATATCCTGTCAGCAAAAACCTGTCCATTTGCTTTTTTGATTGCTTTCAGCTTAAGTGCCGGTGTTGATAAAACAAACAAAAAATAAAAAAAAATAAACAGAAATGATTTCCAATCTTTTGCAAATAATATAAGATAAAGATATCGCTGACTCTAAACTGCAACTTCCTACTTTATTAACTTTCTAAAGTGTTAAATTAAGTGGAAAAGACAAGTCCAAAAACGCTTATAATAGCTGGATCTGGCAACACTGAGGCTGCGCCCACGCCCTCACTCACAACTCTCTCAAGCCTCGTTCAGTCCGCCAGCATCTTGCTCGTACCAGGGAAGCTAAACATTCTTGCAAACTGTCTAAACTGAATTATTCATGTCATGCAGGCATTCATATGAGGAGTTTAACAGCAAATTAGTCCTTCAAAGAACACATTTTATTTTTGAACATGAAAAATTCACCGAGGTCCGGACCTCATAGCTGGTTACGGGCCTGGTTGCCATCTCTACATACCAGAGGCGTTTCCTCCAAGGAGGCAAGGGAGGCAAGGGCAGTGTCTCCTCAAAATATTGAATAAGAAAAAAAATTTGTAGTACGAAAATAAAACAATGCCACTATTACAAAATATAACATTAAAAGTCATGCTACGGCCACTGCATAAGGCCGTTCAAGGATTTTATGACTGCCATGTCGCGGCCACGGTGGACGCTCACAATCTCTCTGCCAGTCATTATTACTGCCACTGAGACTGTTCATAGTTATTCTGCCTGTTCTGTCACAGCCAGGTGGTTTGTCCATGTCTCTGCTCTGCCATGGCCTCCTGACCTGTGGTGGTCTTCTGCTCTGCAGGCATCACCTTGGTCACCTGCTCCACTCTGGTCGCCTGCTTCACCAGCTCCACCGTGGGGATCATCGGTCCCACCTGCTCTGCCCTGGTGGTCTTCGGCTCTGCCAGTTCCACCCTGGTCTCTGGCTACGCCCTGGTTCCCTAATCCTTCATGGTTGCTCCACGGTTCAGGTCCTCCACTGCTCCATGGTCCAGACCCACCACTGCTCCACGGTTCAGGCCTGTCTCTGCTCCACGGCCCAGGTCCACCATGGCTCCACTGCCCATGTCTGCCATTGCCCCAGGTCCACTACTGCACCATGGCCCGCTGCTCCAAGGTCAAGGCCCGCTACTGCTCCACGGCCTAGGTCAGCAATTGCTTCATGGTCCAGGCCACCTCTGCTACATGGGCCAGGTCCACCATTCACCAAGGTCTTGCCCTCTGCGCCACGATCCATGGTCTCTGTCACTGCTGTCACCATGTCATGATCCAGGTCCAGTTCTCCTGCATGGGGCTGACTCTCTATTCCGCCCCCTGGACCACCTCCAGTCCTCCACCCTCCCAGACTCTTTGTTGGTTTTGGGTGGTTTATTAGGGCGTCGGGAGCTGCCCTTACAGGGGGGGGATATGTCATGGTTGGTTTTGGGTTTTAGTTTATGTTCATGTTTTCATGTCTTTTACTTTGTATTCACGCTCTTAGTCTAGTTTCCTGGTTTGTCATGTCATGTGTTTCCCTTGATCCTGCCATGTGGTTCTTTTTTCATGCGTTTTGTTCCCATTGGTTCCTTTGTTGTATGTGTCATGTGTTCAGTGGTTGGAATATGTCATGTAACCCCATTTGTTTGATATATATATGTAGCCCTTATGTTGCCATTAGGTGTGTTCAACTTGAGGCAGAGCTACGCAGACCAATCGGCGTTTGACATCAAAGTACCGCGAGAGCGATTCAAAAGCTTAAAGAGTTGTCTGCTCTCCAATCGCTCTCGCGGTACTTTGAGGTCATAAGCCGATTGGTCTGCACAGCGCCGCTTCAAGTCGAACACACCTATTGTGTCTCGTCTAGCTTTGTGTTGTGCAACTGCTGCTTGGTGAGTCTTTGCCTGTGTTCATGTTCAAGTTTATTTCATGGTTTGGTATCAAGTCAGGTCTTCGTTTATATTTGTATAGTTCAAGTCTTCTAAATAAAAGCTGCACATGGGTTCAATAAGCTTGCCTGAAGTGGACTTTGTCACAAGTAGCTAGACAACAAACATTGTTATATTTTTCATTGTTTGTGCCCACTTTTTAGTAGCTTATAGCTGCTGCATATTAGCATGACTATAGTTGAACTTGAAAGTATTAGTAGCTGTAGTTGTATCACAGGTGACAGTACTTACATATGAACTTTTCATAAGCGTGACACTAGTTTATTTTGCCCATGATGTAATTAGTAGCTTATTAAGAAGCTTGTAGTGTACTGTAGCTACATGAATCTGTTTTTAAAAGTTTACCTGTAGATTAGCTGAACTACTTGAAATTATGGGCAGTGGTGGAAATGGTCAAAATTCATTGGGGGGACTCTATAGCTTGGGGGGGTCATTTTTAAACTTTTTCAATTTTTTTATTATAACAATACATTCAATAATAAGACACAATCAGGAAAAATCTGTAACCAATCAAATGAAATCAGTATCAACCAAATTAATCTTTGCACTACAGAGGTGGCACAGAAGAACGCAAAAGTGGCATTTAGGTTTATTTACAGGCTGTTTAACATGGCTCAGAGATGGCATGAATGCACAATAATGTTATGAGATTAATGTTTTAAATATAGTTTTGAAATTATAAATATTAAATGATTTAAATAACTGAAATTATACGCAGCGACTGTCTATGAATGGGGGATTGAAACACTTACTAGATTCAATTAAAAACGCAGATTCATTCATAAACAAAACACAGCTGTGTTTGCTTGGAGATGCGCAGTGGATCAGTTGTTACTTTGTTTGGAAATATTTTCATTGATGAAAAGACAATCGGACAGAGAAATCAGACAATAGTGTTCCTAAAAAGTAAGTCACTTAAAGGGGTCCTATTATGCTCTTTTACAAAGTCTTGATTTTGTTTTGGGGGTGTACTAGAACAGGCTCTTATACTAAGTTGTTCGAAAAACCCATTATTTTTCACATATTTTACATTATTACAACACCTCTCTCCCCAGTCTGGCATGAACGAGCGTGTCTGCGACATAGTGATAACACTCGTTGCCTTCTCTAGTGCAGCTCAACCAGGTCTCGTCCTATTTGTCGCTATGTGTGATATCACAAATCCCGGAAAATATGCGTTGTAGTCCAAACGAGTCATTCGTTGAAGTTTTTGAAAAGTGATTTCTGTTAAATAAAATATCTCCTTTTGAAGTGGACTTTGAGCTTTGTAACTTTGCAGATCTTTTTTATGCTCAAACAGCAACATTACTAACAAACTAACTGACTAACTAAAGTCGAAAAAGTGAAAAAGCATAATAAGACCCCTTTAATATTGAACTGCAGAAAATCAATATCACATTTGCAAACTCCCTTTATAATCATTAAAAAGATGTCACTCATCTTAGTTCATCACAATCTCACAATAATCAATGAAGCTCTATACCGCACAATCAATCTCTTATTTACATCGTGTCTACATTGTTATAATGAGAGGATTCACTAGCTTGCACAACTCAGCAATTCTGGTGTTTTGAGCGGTGAGTGGATTTTTACTAACTTAAACGCCTCTGATTAGCCACTGTGTTCAAGTCAACAGATATGTCTGTGATTGGCTACGTTGCTCATTGCTGCAAAAACATGTCGTAAATAGAAACCCATGATGCAGAGCGCATTTGCAAATTCTGTTTCACCAATATGCTATTATTGGTTTCAGCTGTGGGTGCACCCTCTAGAAGTGTGGTAGATTGTCATACTGTTTTCACTCTACAAGTGTCTCATAAATGGAAATGCAAGATCTTTTCAGGCTAGAGGACATTATTTTTAGACGGAATTTACATAAAAATCTAGATAATTTGAGATACACTAACACAGCTTTACACATATCAAACTTTATGTTCTCGCATCTGATAAAATAAGATGTTCAGATTTCCTGCAGTCTGCAGGTATTGTGGCCAATCACAAAAGCCGACATTGAACAGTCAGCCATAGACAAAACTATCCAGCTACGTTTTATTATATATTGCGCTACGTTATGTGAGGAACTCTGATCGCTTTCGTATGCTATTGAATGAATAAGATATATAAAGAAATCCCTTTCATTTCCCTAACCAGTTGGAACTGGAATGCCGCCGCCCCCCCTCGAAATTCACTCCCCGGACTCCTTCCCCACCCCACCCCCGCCCCGCCCTGCATACCCCATTTCCAACCCTGATTATGGGTAGCTGTAGCTTGTCGGTTAACAAGCTACAATTTCAAAAGTAGCCTCTGCAACGATCTTATCACCTTTACATATGTACTTACAACACTGCAAGTCGCACTGAAGTACAGGGACTGAAAAGCGCACATCTACCCTCTGGACCTACAAACATGAAAACACAAGACCATCCACATCAATAATTACCACTGACAAAAATCCAACAAGATTAAACAGCACTGTTACTGTCACTCTCCTTTGTTGCCATACCTTGATGCAGACACACACTTCGCATGCACTTTTAGACAAGTTGAAAACTGTGTGCTTCATTTTGTCCTAGAAAACAAATAAGACCTGGCATGACATCAAACAAGCTTAAACAAGACCGCTTCAGTGCTTTGAGTTTTCCTTAGAACAGACCCTTTTCTTTCTCATGTCATCGGTTATAAACCAGGTGAAAAATTTTACTTTGACAAGGGAATTGCCTTCAGTGGAGGCCTCAAGGCATGGTTTACTAAGATGAATAGGAGTGTACAGAGAAAACCATTTAAAAAAAAAACATCCATATGACATCATGTACATTTGCTCTGAAGTTATTATTACTGATCCTACAGGCAGATTATCCTGCTCAATGTTCCTTACCACAGAAAGGGTTTGGAATTTCTGTCCCTCGATTTGTTTACACTGAGGGGAGGGTTTCATCTCACAGACAGAAATGGAGAAGCTGGCTTTGACCCATGTTGAAATCTCTGCCCACTGCTGACCATCTTTGGATGTAATCTTTGCTGTCCAGACTTGTCAGATAAAAGGATATTTAGATTTATACAGTGTGTAACATAAACATCTGTGAAAGGTATTGTGCTGATATACCTGAGAAATTTCCTTTGGCAAAAGGACACTTTATCCATGCCCCCACTTCAGTGGTAAACTACAACAGAGAAATTGTCATTACAATGAATTCCAAACCAACCCAAAAAGCTATTTTCTGTCAATGACATCATTCATTTAAAGGAACGGTTCACCCAAAATTTAACATTCTGTCTTCATATTGAAACAACTAAATTCCAAATCATGAGAAGTCATTTGATAGTTTTTGTTTTGTTTGTATGGTCCTATAAATATGGCTCAAGAACAATGTGGATATAGTGCATGAGTCATATGGACTACTTCTATGGTGCTTTTTTATCATTTTGTAATGTGACAGTTCCAGTCCCCATCCACTTTCATTGTATGGAATAGAGCAGCTAGGACATTCTACTACATCTCTCCTTTTGTGTTCTTTGGAAGAATAAAAGTCATATGGTTTGGAACCTCATGAGGGTAAGTAAATAATGACAAAATTTTAATTTTTGGGTGAAAGCAAATATGCAATAAAAAACATTCAACCTTTGTGCAAAGCATTGGGTGTGGATCCACAGAGGAGAATATCACCTGAGGTGAAAACAGTAAAAAAAGATGTAAGGGTTCCTAACGATCAGCAGCTATTACTGCACATGTAATAAAAAGGAACAACTGAACATACTTTTTGCCCCTCTGAATGAAAAACATTTCCAAGGTCTTGGCAGCTTTTCCCTCCATCGGCATGGCACAGAGAAACTGACACTTTGACAGGACACAGCGGCTCCCATATCAACTCTTCCTTGTTGAGGTCATGGGTTATCCCAGACCACAGTTCTTCTAAATCTGTTACAGAGGACAGTGTGGTATTTTAAAGTCAAATTTGAGCTTTAAAATGTCCATTTATAATATATGTTTTTTAAATTCCCATTTATAATATTCATGATTTATCCATAGTTATTTAAAGGGATAGTTCGACCAAAAATGAAAATGTAAGGACAAAGCAGTTTAAACATTCTTCAAAATATCTTCTTTTGTGTTCCACAAAATAAAAAAACTGCTGCAGGTCTGAAACAACATTGAGACTTATGTGATGGTGAATTATTGATTTAAGTGCTTTAGCTTCACATACGAGACCACTGGCAAGCTAGTAATTTGGAACGCTATGCAACAGGAAATAGTTACTCCCTTTACAAATCCGACAAGTGCTAACTAGTACAAAAAAATCTGATTCAATACAAGCAAATGCAAATAAGCAAGCCAATGCAAGAAAGTTTTTTTTTTTTTTTGTTAATCAGTTCAGCTGTTGCTGAAAGAGGTTTTAAGGTGGGTCTCAAGATTAACTTAGAAGTTGCCATTTGTTTTAGAATTTTATACCTCACAATGCATTTTTACAGTGAAAATCGAGAACCTGAAAACATCTAAGACCTTTGTTTTTAACACAGCAATTTTTACTCACTGTTTTTAAATGGACACACTTGAACTCTCCGTGCATCTACTCTAGCAGGCCAACCCTGAAATAAAAGACAGTGGAAATCAACAGTTCCTTTAACTGTCGGATTCATGTTCAAAACTTAATTTTCCGTAAAATAAAACTTTCATACCTCAATGCACAAACAGGGCAATGGTTTGGAATAATGAAGCGTTATGCTACTCTCTAGATATTGTGGTTTTATCTGAAACACATGCAAAACACAAGGGTAAAATGAAATGATGCAAAGTCTTCTAGGAAATGCAAAGGAAATCTGTGTGCCTTACTGTTCTGTGTGCCCCTTCCCCTGCACAGATGATATTGCGTTTATGGCAGAGCCTGAGGTTGTAATCTGTGTTCTCAGGAGCATCAGTTACTTTCACTGTTAACATATTCCTGGCTTTATCTACAGTGTACACCAGCTTCCCAGCTACAACAAAATGACAATACAGTTACAGATTTACATACATATGTATCTGTGTGTGTGTGTGTGTCTGTCTGTCTGTTTGTCTGTCTATGTCTATGTCTGTCCATCAGTCTGTCTGTCTATCTATCTGTCTATGTCTATCTTTCTATGTCTGTCCATCAGTCTGTCTGTCTGTCTATCTATCTATCTATCTATCTATCTGTCTATCTATCTATCTGTCTGTCTATCAGTCTATCTATCTATCTATCTATCTATCTATCTATTGATCTATCTATATGTCTGTCTGTCTATCAGTCTCTCTCTCAGTCTATCTATCTATCTATCTATCTATCTATAAATGTAGTGACATCATGATAATGAAACTTACTGATGCACTCTGTAATTTCATCTCTGATACCTTCATGACTGCATTCTGGCATAAAAAATAAATAAAAGGGTATTAGATGTTAATGTTATTTATGTCATATGTGACTACATTGTGTATAAACATTATTTATAGACTGCTGACAAACACAATACTGATACCGGGAACAAGGTGTCTTTGTGTCCACAAAGCCTTACAGTAGTTGGGAATCGTTTTGAGAGTCACAAAAACAAGCTGTCCAGGTCTAACAGGAACACACTTAAACTGCACATCAACCTAGAAGCAGAAACAGAGAATACAACATCTGACAACCATGCAAGGTAGGAGATTATAGTTTTGGTGGTACAATGACATGTCATTGATAAAATTCTCAGTGGTAATGTTAGAAATCTATTTGCATAGTGTAACCATCAAGTAAGCATCACATGTTCATACTGTACCTGTTTTCCTGTGGCTTTTCCTTTGCCAACATGGCCAAAGGTATAAATCTGGCAATGTCCTATCATCCCTGCAGAGTCGGCACACACTGAAACTCCACGAATATCACCTGGAAAAACAGTCAAAACTTTAGAAGAACAAAAAAAAAAAAACATTTAATGGGTGGTGCAAAGAGGTGACATCATTTTGCTGTTCTCCTTTAATTAACATTTCAGGTTAAATCAACAAGGTAGTAATTATTAAGGCATATTGTGTTTAGTTAATGTTAGACCTTTCAGATTATAGAGTATTTAATTAATAACTTATTGTTGTGAACGTTGTCGTTTTCAAAAGATGCAATGATGTAGGAATGACTCAGTAGTTCTACCAATGTGATTGCAAAACATTCTAACAGCGGTTGTTGAAGTTTTTCAGGATTACTGCACCAGACAAAAAAAGACAGTTCACTGAACACACATTGAACATAGTGGGGTAAGTTGTCACAGTGCAAACATGCAAACAAACAATTTGTAAAATATACAAATATCATCCAAAAATTTGGTATTTTACAGAAATATGGAACCATTAATTATAGTTATTAGTAAATTGTATCAATGTATAAGATTTAAAATATATTAGCTACATCAAAAGCATTTCATTCATACAATGTGACCAGAATAATACACACCAGTAACATTCACTGATGCTGCGATTTTGAGCTGGAGTGAACATTTCCTCCCCTCACACGCTAACACAGTAGACAACATCACATTATTGAACACGGCGCTGCTAACAGCCTGATTCCTGCAGTGAAATGCTGACAGTGGAGCTATAAGATATAAAATATGTTAGGATCATAGATTACTGCATATATAGACAGACAGATAGACAGATAGATAGATAGACAGACAGACAGACAGACAGACAGATAGATAGATAGATAGATAGATAGATACTTACAGTAAGCTCTGGGTTTACACTGTAGACCCTGTATGTAGAGATCAAAACGAATATTATTTAAAGCACTATGTCGAATCATGATAGTGTAAATTACTTTCCTATTTATGCATGGTCCCGAACTGCTTTATCATTTAACAGGAAATGTGACTGTACTGTAAGGATAGTAAAACAAGGGGTTTCCCACTCATGCCTTAGGAAGTTCCTGGTTGGAGCAAATATAACAAGGCTAGCAGGCATATGATGTAAGTTTAGTGTATCCTCATATCTAATTACAATAATCAACAGAATACAAACAAATTAACTTTGTCTATGTCTGATGACCTAGATGAGTGAGAGTGGGTTATTTGTGTTTGTCTTCTTCTGTAAGACTGAGACAAATGCTTTTTTAACATATCTCATATAACTCGCTGGGTTTCATTGTTACAAATGATATCATATTGTTATGACTCATAATTTAAACCCACTCAACCTGCCACTAGTTACTTTTCTGGCATAACAGAAATAGCTCATGTAAATAAGCACTGACTTAATTAAGTTAAATATTAATAAATGCAATGTCAGTTGGCAAATTTCATACAATTTAATTTATTTGTCTTTTACAAGTTAAATGTCTCACACCTGGCAAGCAAGATATAATTCTAGAATATTACTGTTAAACTTTTGATAATTAAATTATGACTGCAGCAATGTTTTACTCAAGTAATGCCAAGGTAATATCAAGTTTTAAAAGAGAGAGAGAGAGAAACGAAAGACCTTATTAAATTAATATTTTACAAAACAAAAACATCCTAAACAAAAGATTAGCCTAAATTTATTTTTAGACTACATAAAAATGTAACTGACAAACCTCAGAACAACTCCAAGCACAGTCCTGGTTCCTCTCAGTCCTGTCCATATGGACCTTGTGGTTCTGGAGGATGAGGAGCAGAAGAAGAAGCGGAAGATATTTCATGTTCGGTCAGTTTTGCCACGCGCTGACGTTTCTGTACAAACTTGCTTTGTTGCTGTGAATGACTTGCTGTCACAGTATGCAGCACTTTGAATATCAAACGGGCATTGACATATAGAGGGAAATTGCTCCCGCCCACTAAAACCCAGATAAAGAAAGAGGGGAAAAACCGTAGTGCAGCTTCCAACCCAATCAACAATTTGATCTCACAATGATGTCACCATGAGCTCACACGATTCTCATGGTGTGGTCACAATGTGTGTGTCACAGTGAGCTAAAAGTGTAACCACACAGCGCACTCACTGTGTGCTCATACTATGCTCCCAACCAAAGGTCACTGCACACTCACTGTGCGCTCATACTGTGGTCACAACGTGAGGTCACTGCACACTCACTGTGCGCTCATACTGTGGTCACAACGTGAGGTCACTGCACACTCACTGTGCGCTCATACTGTGGTCACAATGTGAGGTCACTACACACTCACTACTCACACCGTGAGGATCACAGTATGATGATCATGTGAACTCACAATGATTTCCTATAGTACTCACACCGTGAGGATCACAGTATGAGGATTGTGTGAACTCACAATGATTTCATATAGTACTCACACGGTGAGGATCACAGTATGAGGATAGTGTGAACTCACAATGATTTCACCTATTACTCACACCGTGAGGATCACAGTATGAGGATCGTGTGAACTCACAATGATTTCATATAGTACTCACACCGTGAGGATCACAGTATGAGGATCGTGTGAACTCACAATGATTTCATATAGTACTCACACCGTGAGGATCACAGTATGAGGATCGTGTGATGTCACTGTGATCATCGCATGATCTCACGTGTTGACTGGGAAAGCTCATCCATGATATCTCTCTCTCTCTCTCTTTCTCTCTGACACATATACTAATAATGACTGCAGTTAATAATGGCAGTTTAGGAAATTCATAGCACTTAACTCCCCAAACACCCATAAAAGTCCCTAACAGCGCTCTCTTTGGCATTTACTAGCTCATAACGCTCGATTAAAGTTTTATACAGGCGCTTGTAATAAAGTTTAAGTAGAAACTGCATAACTGTACAGTTCTGTAGAAACTATATTCGTCGCTAGATGGAGACAAATAGCAACAGTAGACACGCCTTGCGGATGCAAGAGTGAATTTAAATGTGGATTTCCTACAAAAATACCAGTTACACAGTTACAACATCATTATAGGTTTTTTCTCTCTCACACAGGTCTTTATCACTTTCTTATGCGAAACGATGCATATTGCCAAAAAGCACAAAACAAAAGCAACATGGATCTGGAGACAGTGTCAAGTTTCAAGAATTACAAAAACCAACCAGTCTGTCTATACTGTATACAGGTGAGAAACACTTCAATAATAATAATAATAATAATAACTGTTAAATTATTTATATGCTATATGTTAGTGCAAGGGGATGACCATACTGTTCCTACTCAAATTATTTGTAGTCGACCATCCTAAATAATAATAATAAAAATAATTAGAATATAGATTTTTAATTCATGATTATTATTAACAATTATTATTGACATGTATTAAGGTCTTATAATATACATTATATTATTTATTATTATTATTTCATTTGCTATAGTGCAAGGGGTTGATATGATATATGGGATATTGTTGGTTCCTACTCTAATTATTTGTTGTCGACCATCCTGAAAAATAATAAATATTATTCATAATTATAATATATATTTTTAATTTATAATAATAATAATAATAGTAGTAGTAGTAATAATTTGTATTTTTATTATTATCAATTATTATAAACCGTAATTATTGACACTTACTAAGAACATTTATTAATTTTTGCATTATTATGCTATATGGTAGATAGTGCAAGGGGTAATTATATGGGATACTGTTGGTTCAAATTACTTGTTGTCTTTCGTGAAAAAAAAATGACAATTGCAATATAGATTTTTAATGTATTACTATTATTACTAACGATTATTACTATTAACTATAGTAATATAGGATAATTATAATATTGTTTTCAAATGTATTATTATTATTATTATTATTATTAATTCAGGATGGTCTACCAGAAAAAAGATGACACGCATGTGCGTATGAAACTAAACCAACAGCATCTCATGTAGATACTGATCACCCCTTACACTCTCTGTCTGGCCCCTCGCACCTTATTTTTGGCGGGCGTTGTTTTGTCGTCTCTCCCCTGCTTGCAGTGCTCCTCTCTCCACCCCCTTTGTTGTTTCTCTCCTCTAGCCTCCGCTGCGCGCGCACACCCACACTCTTGCTGGGATCAGCTGCGCGCTCGCAGTAGTCCGTGCGTCCCTTCCCCCCGCGGCCTGGCTGCTGATGAGATGAGCGGAAGATGTCGGTGTCGGGGCTGAAGGCCGAATTAAAGTTCCTCGAGTCAATTTTTGACCCAAACCATGAGCGCTTCAGAATAATCGACTGGAAGCCTGATGAACTGAGCTGCCAGTTCAATGTGACGGGAGAAAAACTGCTGATTATTCATTGCAACATCACGGTAAGATTCATCAGCCGTGTGTATCTTACAGGCGAACAAGACAAGGCCGAGTGAAATAACACCACCCACAACCCCTTTTTGACTCGAATAAAGCCGTCATATAGCAAATAAACCATTTAGGCCGACCAGAATCGATTATATCCTCGGATGTCAAAATCACGGCTAAACAAGTATGCACTGCTAGCACGAGCTACATTTAGCCTGCTAGTTGATTAGCTAACAAAGTTAACTGCGTTGGCTCTCGCTTTAACTTTATTAGCTATACAAACTCGCTATATAGTGTTCAGGTTTGCTTGGTCACATCAAACACATACAGCATGTAGGGGTTGTTTTATTCCGCGTTTGTGGGATTTTGCAGTTAAGTTAACGTTAGTTGGCAGGTAATTAGCTTGTGTGCTAATTTGGCTAAGCGGATACTTTAGCTAGCTAAACGACGTTTTGGACAAAACATGTTTTTTTGGTCTTGCAAAGCCGACTTTGAGATGCTATTTTGGAATATTTAAAATGTAACAAAACGTTTTATTGGTATAAACAGCTACGTATAATTTTGGCTAGCTAATTCAGCAATGATTAACATTAGCTGGTTTGCCGAAGTTCTTAATTTCGCGAGGCCTCTTAAGAAATGCGTAGATTTAAAACGACACAACTGTTTATTTAGTTAAATCTATGCTGATTTGTTACAGAGTAACTGTTAGCGTAATTTATAGTTGCATATCGAAATGAGTTATAGGTGGTATTAACAATATTAGCACATTTTGAAACTTCGTATTTGAGCAATTCCTGCATTTTCACAGCTTTTTTTAATGGACAAAATGTGCATATATATGAAGTGTATATTAAGTGCACTACATTATCAAGGAGACGTAGAGTGTCTTTGAAAGCACACTGCAAAACGACGCCACTGCAGTGCAACTGGCTGCTGTTTTGTTGTTATTGAGGCCAGTTAGTTTGCTGAGCTTAGATCTTGATGTTTGAGGTGCTGTAAGATCAGTATGTGGTCCTGACAAGCGGAAGCAAATCACACTGCCATCATTTTGGCTCTCCCCTCGACGGGAGACACAGGGATGGGAGGAGATTTCTAACTAGTGGATGGGAACATAATGTTCACATGATTTTACATGGTACCTCATCAGCTCAGACACGCACTTCTCTGAAATAAACAGCACTGCACTGATCTGCCGTGGTCTCTTCTGGGTTTTCATTAGGAGAGAGAACCTGCAGAGTTTGATTCATTGGTTTGGCAGCTGGTAATGTGGCTGTTTATCATGCAAGTGGCTGAACGGATCTGCTCAGTAACCTTGTGAAAGGACAAAGGGTTTTGATACAGTTCTGAAGATGATGATGTTGTAACTCTTGATATTTTCGTAGGAGTCTTACCCTTCAACCCCACCAATATGGTTTGTTGATTCAGACGACCCAAGTCTGACTGAAGTCCTTGAACGACTAGAGGATGTCAGAAAAGGCAATACTTTGGTAAGGAGGTGTTTCTTCTCTCTGAGATTGTAATGAGATGGGATCACCAAAATAATGCGGGAAAAAAATAAGTATTTTTGTACATTAAAGTTTACAAGTTTGGGGTGTTTTCATTATTGATAAAATCAAAAGGAATGTTTCCTGAGCATCAAATCAGCATATTATAATGATTTCTGAAGGATCATGTGACACTGAAGTCTGGAGTATTCGTTGATGAAAATTCAGCTTTGCATCACAGGAATAAATTACATATTAAAATAGAAAATAGTTATTTTAAATTGTAATATTTCACAGTATTAATGTTTTATAAAATAAAAAGCAAACTTGCAAATCTTATGCTGAGTGATCTGAAAACATTATTTTAATTTCTGTATTAAAATGTATTTTTTAATTTTACGTTGCGATAATTGCTTAAGCTTTTATCACAGTATTCGGTATTATCACGATATTGAACAAAGTAGGGGTGCTCCGATTAATCGGCCGATAATCGTTTTGGGATGATTGATCGGCGGTCTCTAAAAAGGCCGATCTCAAAAAACCAATCTCAAGCTGATGACGCGCCTGCCGTCAGAGGTTTGGCACAACATGCAGCTGCACGTCTCTGTCCAGCGCGGGTGAAATAATTATAATGCTGAAGGTGAGGTACTCGCCTTCATATGTCTTAATTAAATAACTTATAAAGTAATTTGAAAACCTTGTGTGAGACGTAATTTCACAAACCGCGTGAGTGAATCACCGCACGCGCTCTCTCAAAATACACAAATGTCTTCAAATCACCACACATCGCGTCTGTCCATAAGTCAGCTGCACAGTTGACACAGCAATTGTCACTTGCACAATCGAGGCAGTGTCACATCGTCACTAAAGTTTATAAATTGCATTACTTTTTAATTCTTGCCAGTGTTTAACCATTCAGCGCTCGCGTGCTCTCCTGGAGACCGTGCGCTCATGCACACACAACGCCAAGGTTCGCATTACTCCGTTTGCAGTGCATACGTGGTGCGTAT